CCAATGGTTGACGCCCTCAGCATTAAGAAGTAGAAGGCGGTGACAATTATCAGCTTCCCAGAAAACATCAAACATCTCACCCACAAGGAATGTGTCATACGAATTTATTAAGGAAATTTGCCTCTCAGAAAAGTAATAGCTTCGTCCGAAAGGAGGTCACATTTACTTCCTTTTTATTCGTTTTTTTACGTGTTAATGTTCGATGCTCATTCGTCACGGCCCATAAGATTGTGAGGCTCGTATAGCTGTGACGACGTAGATTTATATTCGGGAAGTGCTCAGTTTGAATCTCGCCCGGGACACCTGTCCTGACTGAGGTTTTACAGATTTTCCTTGTTCCTCCATGCAAATTGTACGATCATTAGGAGCCGGGATAGCTCAGTCGGTATAGCAACTAGCTACAGGCTGGACTACCGAGAAGTCGGAGTTCGAGTCACGGTGAGGGCAAAAATTTCTTTTTCTCCAAGTCGTCCAGACCGGCTCTGGGGCCCACTCAACCTCCTATCCAATGAGTACCGGGGCCTCTTTCCCCGGGGGTAAAGCGACAGGGGCGTGTAGCTCATTACTCACCTCTAACTAGAGCCGAGGTCAAGAAAATGTGGATCTATACAGCCACTTCCCCATACACCTTCATGGCGTACTGCTTAATTAGTCAAGCACAGGGACAACTTTGCCTTACTTTACGATTGTTAACAATAAACAGCAATCATTTACGTAGATAGCATTGAGCGGTTGATCTCTGTGTTTACTGTGAGGTAAGAAATGAACAGTCAGAAGAAATTGGAGCCTCAAGGGGCCTAAACTACGTGTTCTGTAAATGCGGAGACGGCAAATGTGTTTTGTCTGTATAGTATTTAGTTACTGCGCTTTTTATTTGGGTCAGACATTCCTCATCTGTAACTCCGCAGTTCTTGACAAAAGCGGCACGCGGCACGCATGCCCTTGTTTTGTATTATTATTATTATTATTATTCGAAGGGACATATCGCCTCTGCTCGTCACCTGCTTTCACGCTGGTTTCTTGCTCGGCTTATTGTTCCACCCTGAAAATGGAGGCTGTGTGCTCCTTCGAAACGTCTTTTAGTGGACTACAAGTCGTTATATCCCATAAGGTCCTGCAAATGTCTCCTCCTTTCCGTGAGAGAGTAACCGAAGGAAACTGTGGTGTTCCGGTTAGGCTGCAATACCTCAGTGACCTGTGTTCGATTCTGGACACAAATCATGTTTCATAACCAGTAAAAGTGGAGTTGTTATTGTACTGAATGAAGCTCCTCTCCGTGACACCGTACGGGAGAGTGAAATGTATCGCCCCACACTCCTAACCTCGACACTAGGTGGAGATGAGAGATTAGCTTCATGTTCAGGCCAATTTTTTTATTGCTAGTGGCGTGGCCTAAGTCCCTTGTACTGCGGTCACTTGTGGCCTATTGTACCAGCCCCAGATGATAGGTGAGGGTGATTGTGGAGCAATTGGTGGAATGAAGATTGGCAGGGGAAACCCAAGTACTCGGAGAAAACCTGCCCCAGCACCACTTCGTCCACCTCAAATCCCACTTGACCAGACCCGGGACCGAACCCGGGCCGCCGCGGCGGAAAGCCAGCGACTATCCGCTTGAGCTATGGCGCGTCCTTCCGGCCACTTTACTCCCAGAGGGAATCTCCGTTCTCTCTCCTCGGTGGAGCCTAGAGTCGGTCTGGATGCTGCGGAGAAGAGAACATTCTGTTTTGTCTGCCGGGAATCAAACCCCCATTTATCTATCCAGCTCCTAGCCTAGGTGCTATACTCACTGAGCTATTGCCTCTTCTTAGAATCGCTGCCTACCCGTAAACCGCATAAAACGATTCCTTACTGATGGCGTCCATATGGGTCCTGAGGCTTGTAGGCCCTCGATTGACATATCGATACTGACTATCGACTTGTGTGTCCGCTGGAAGACTTCCGCATAAGTGCTGCACGTTTTCATAAACCATTTAATCCACCTTCCACTCTCGCAATTTGAAAGTATAATTAGAATGATGAAGTCAAGGAGGATGAAGTGGGCAGGACATGTAACACGAATGGGGGAGACGAGGAATGCATATCGGAAATTTGTGGGAAAGCCAGAAGGAAAGAGACCACTGGGAAGACCAAGGCGTAGGTGGGTGGACAATATTAAAATGCATCTTAGAGAGATAGGATGGGATGGTATGGATTGGATTGATCTGGCTCGGGATAGGGACCAGTGGAGGGCTCTTGTGAACACGGTAATGAACCTTCGGGTTCCATAAAATGCTGGGAATTTCTTGAGTAGCTGCAGAATTGGCGGCTCCTCAAGAAGGGCTCAGCTCAATGAGTAAGTAAGTAAGGGCCATGTATATGAAGAAAAATGGAAGGATTAATATTTATATTGACCCACTTACCATGATTTACTTTTCAATTAAAAAACTGTTGTCATATAAATCAATCTGTATTGACATGAAATGAACACATGTCTGTCAACCTATTTCCCGTTATAGGTGGCCCTAACCTGTTCTGTACCATAGCGTCCGTCATGAGACAGCAAGCGTTGCAATCCAATGAGTTCCATTAGGCATAAACTTGTAATTCAAGACAAACCCCCATTTTTATATTGAGAAACGATGTCATGTTTGAAAAGGAAGTATCCCTCACGTTTATAAATGAAAAGCCTCTCTCTGTTTGCGAAACTTCTACTGTATTTAATGCAAATTATAGAGCAAATTTGCTAATGTTCATTTTCCCTTGTAACCTCATTCTAAAAAATTATTCTTCCGAAGAGAAAACATCAGTTTATGAACTTTAATAGTACCAATTAAACTAACTGCCATATTACCACTTGATACCACTATTTCTGGTTCCGCAGAGCCATGGCTGCACACAACATTTACTCATATACTCATTCAGTGAAGGTAAGTCCTTGAGAAGTTAATGGCCACTCTCAGATGGCGAAGAAATTACCCCGGTTTGTTATTGTGTTCATAGGAGTCCGCCTCTGTTCCCTGTCTTGCGCCGTGAGTCCAGTCCATACCACCCAATTCTGTTTTCTAAGATATATTTTAATGTCATCCTCCAATCTACACCTAGATCTTTCTAGTGGTGTTTTTCTTTTCGTTTCCGGCTAAAATTTTGTATTGGTACATGATCTCTCCCGTGCGTGCTACAGTATCTGATCAATCTCACCTTTCTTGATTCGATAATCAAATACAGTAATGCCTGTCACATACTACAAATTATTGAGATCCTTAGTATGACACAACATATTGTCAAGTAGTATGCGTGACTGTAGACGGGGTTTGGATTGATGAATGGATTTACTGACAACTTACAGGTCGTAACTACAAATAACTATACCACTACCTCTATTACCACACTTCAGAGTTCACTAGAGCACACAATTGGTCGCGCGGTCTAAGGCATGGATGTACGTCTGCGTTTATTCTGTGTTTATGTAGGTAACGGCCTTGCAGCAGGCTGATCCCCCGCCCAATGAGTACTACCGACTGTCTTAGGATTAAGAAACTGAAGTGAAACGAAGCGTTTCAAGGATGCCCTATGCTCCAAAGTGGGAGCAACAGGAAAATAGAGAGACAGTACACAGTCTAGTGTTCTCAGTCTTGACTAGTCGTTGCTGGGTAACAGCTCCCAGCAATGGAGATTCCTCACGGCCAACCACTAACTGCCAGCGCTCACTTTTAGCATTCCTCGTGGTTTGGGTCTCACGCGTCATGCCAGAGTAATAGCACGTCGAAAAAATAACCAATTTCACTAACATTCATAGCACTGCTGCTGCCTGAACTACTGTTTTCAGATTTCTCCATTGTGGCTGAAGGCAATCACAGACTTCTTGGAACGGTGCACAGTGTGAGGCATGGAAGAGTGACGTGAAGACTGTGCAGTCGGGACACGAACAGCCAGACAAGGGGACAGACCCTCTATTACTTAGCAACGGCCGCTGTTTACAGTCACCGCCACAATACATGTGACATGTGAATCCGTTGCTGGGCAACGCCCGCAACATACACGCAGCCAACAATACAGCAGCAGTGTTTTCTTTGTGTCCGCATAGCTTGTACATGCGCGGTGACGTCACACAATAATGCGTAGCGGTCACGTGATTTTTTTTTTCCAGAGTCCGTGCCGAGACAATTGGTGGGCAGCAGCCAGCGCGCCAATGGACTGGCTAGATAGTGATCACGTGGCACTTGTGCCGCGTCCCTATAAATGAGCAAAATTCCGAAGACGCAAGCACCCCCGTGTGGAGGCGGGGTCGATTACCTCCACCGTGACCCTGCGAGTCGCAGTAGGCGACGAAAAGGGAAGTCTCAAATCTGAGACAGTAAATTATGTTCGCGAGTACCAAGGGATTCAGACCCGAGAAAGACTACGCTGGCAAGGGCCAGCAGCGTATACAAAAGAAGACACGTCCTCTCGTCAGAGAGAGCGCCCCACAAAAACAAGACCATAGATGTCAAACAGTAATAAATACGACATTAAGACTTACTGACTGACTGACTGACTGTCAGTCGCAATGTGACTTTGACTTTGAGAGGCAAGCAGTAAGCTGAAGAAATATAGAAGAGAAGCGGCAGGAGTACAGAAGAGTACAAGAAATCGGCCTGTGAAGACTTAACCTGTGATTTGAAGACTTTAGGTCTGCTGAAGGTTTACCGACGTTTCGCGGGAACACACTTCCTCAGTCTTCACAGTCGAAGGACAAGCAGTAAGCAGATGACGGTTTCAAATTACGGTCTTCTGGTACGTGACGCCGTGTAGTTTGCTAGGAACTCGCTGCGTTCATATTACGGGAAAACGCTTTTCTATTCTGAAGATAGAGGTAGCAATGTGCTCCGGCGGTCATGTATGACATGTTACGCTTAAATGAGGTGGTATGTAGCTTTGCCGATAGATGGTGCAATCGTACGTGAAGGTGATTGTTCCATGGTCACTAAAATTGCAAGTAGTTGAGATGTATGAATGTTGTCATAATATCTTGTAGTAAATGACACATTATGCTCTTCCTTCTCATGTAACGTTCAACTTAGCTCTGCAGCAGTCTATCAAATTTGCTTCTGAAATACAGTGAATATCAGGTGAAGTTCAGATTGTTACGGCAGATGGCATGAAAGATCAGTGACGTAGCAGACTATTCATGTATTCTCAGCCTTCTGGTGCTATGGCGTACTGTATGCGAGTTTTGCATCGCCAGGTTAGTTAAGTTATTTTAATTTTTGATAAACTTCTACCATTGTATTGTCTATACCTTGATACATATGATTATATTGTGCTTCGCTGGTTGAACTGGTTTGTAAAATATCCACTTTCACAATTACTTTCCAGCTGTAATTAGTAATGCCTGCGTAATGAATTGGACGGAATTTTTCGTGGATATGAGGTCGAGGTCAGAGATGAATGCAAACCGCATATAAGGGAACGAAATATGAGCTATAGTAAAATTTAAAAGTTTAATATACCACAATATTATGCAGCCCTAATTCATTTCATTTTTATTGGGTTAAATTGTCAATAATATAAAGTATATTTGGAATTAGAGTGTTCCACGAACGAATTCGGCATAGAAAGTGTGATTATCGGTTTCTTAAGTATAAAACAGAAACAGCATGTTTTTGCGATGAAGGCTTATACATTCAGATTGCCCCATAAATTGAAATTAAATATGAGTATTAAAGTATTCATGTATAAATTTAAAATGTTATATACTATGGCCATAGGGTTATTGTGGGCCCCAGAAAGTTTATATCTAATCGCAGTATATGTGTGTTGTAGGGCACTTGGTTGCTTACACTAGAAATCCAACGACGATGTTTCCATATATCTCCTTTGGCGGCGGCAGCCAGCAAGGTTGCCATGAGCAAGTTCGACAAAGATACTCCTCTGCCTTACGACAAACTTCTGAAGAACCTGGAAGTTGTAAAAAAGAGGTACCTGTGTGAAGTAGTTCATAGATAATTCTACAGTAATGAACATGTAGAAAATATTTAGTTCCGTGTATTTGAAGAACTCTGTCTTGTGGGGATATAACATCATGTAGACCAGTAAATGTCATCCACAGGATTGTATCCCAGAAAGTGTAACCTCAGATACAACTGTGTTTGTTTTCTCATTAGTCTGTTAAAGTAATATGGTGGGGGGGGGGGAGCTGGTTTGTTTNCCATCTTTTATGCAATAGAGGCAGACAGTAAAAAGGTTACGAAGCAGGAAGTTTGTTTCCCCCCCCCCCACACGTTTCTTTGATGATTTTTCTCCCTGCTATCATCATTCTGCTATTGCTCAATATTCATCTCACTGCCTCCTGAGGTGTGCAGGAGGCCTGACCAGGCAACACATCATCACAGCCTTGCTTGCTCATTAAGTCCTGGCTTCAGCCCTGACCCAGCATCAGGCTGGATGTTATGATAATATTTCTGTTTCAGACTGTAACCCCTGTAGAAGGAAATGTAACACAGTTTTTATGAATATATCAAATCATTTCCAATGTACAGGTTGAACCGACCTCTCACTTTGTCTGAGAAGGTTCTATACTCACATCTTGATGAGCCTGCGACGCAGGAAATTGAGAGGGGGAAGAGTTACCTGAGGTTGCGGCCTGATAGGGTGGCCATGCAGGATGCGACCGCACAAATGGCGATGCTCCAGTTCATTTCAAGTGGTCTGCCGCAAGTTGCTGTGCCTTCAACCATCCACTGTGATCATTTGATAGAGGCCCAGGTTAGTAGTAGGAGTGCTAATTCTGTAATCTGCATGAAATATGGCACTTGTGAACTGTTTATTCAGGTACTTATGTATCAGCATGTTTTGTTTACTGTTGGCTGGGAACGATGAAGCCAGTTCTGTTTGTCCTGGAGCTTGTTTAAACTGTCAAATGAAATTGCCCCTTACCTTTCTCGAAAACAGTGTATAGAGAAAGAGTGGACTGTGATGGTGTGTGGTCTGATAGAAAGTGAGTAACATTTCAGAGTAACTTATTTTGTCTATCATCAGGGTGGAAGAACCTTGAACTTTCTTCATGAAAAATTTTTTCTGTCATATTTTCCCCTCAAATATTTCCTTCTCTTATTTCACTTTATCAATAATTGAGGAGCTATTTCAAGGAAATAGCAGCTGTGGTCTAGAAAACCAAGATTAATGGCCATGGGGATCCGTTGCGCTGACCACGCGACACTCTTTATCCGCAAAAATTGGCACTAACTTCACCTACAAGTGGCGGTCGCTCAGTCGGTATAGTTCGCTTGCGGACTACAGGCCATGGAGTTGTCTTTTTCATTTCTCTTTATCAGTACTGTCGTTCTCTCATTTCTCCTGCTTTTCTAAGCTTGAGGTACGGGTAGCAGGTTCCTCCTAAATAAGCTAACTTTCTTCCAGACTACACAGCGTCATATTCCAGAAAGCTGTAATCTTCAGAGACTTAAGGTTGCTTCTTAGTTTCCAAACATGAGTCCTGTCTTCTGGGATATAACACCATGTAGTCGGTTGGTTGACTTTCAATGGACTACATGGCTCTGTATCCTGGAAGATAGGACTACTGCTATGAAAACCAAAAATCCTGCATACGGGTTCTTTACGAGGGTCGATCAATAAGTACCCGTGTTTGAAGACAGGTGGCGTTGCTGAGGGAAGTTGGCTTTACCGTCGTGTACTGCCATCTGTCAAACGACCCCATACTAAATTTCAGACTGATTCATAGNCAACTGGAAGGATAGCACTTTCAGTGGTATACTCTGTTTTCAGATTGGTGGCACAAAAGATCTGGCACGTGCCAAGGACATCAATGAGGAGGTTTATAAGTTCTTAGCTTCTGCTGGTGCCAAATATGGAGTTGGATTCTGGAAGCCTGGTTCAGGGATTATTCATCAGGTGAGATTTGAAATGATAAGTGGGTAAGTTTATACTGATATTTGTTGATGTTGGCTCAAATGTTTCATTATGAATTTATGCAGATATTTATTGAAGTGGATTATATATACAAAATAGTTAGTGCAGAGTGTGGTGGAAGGTATTTAAATTAGAAGCTCACTTACAGATACATGTGTAGGAATGGCATATATTCTCATCTGTTGTTACGTATAAGCAAATGCGTGTTTGTTTTATCGTGTAATGAACAAAGTCTGTGATGTGGGAAGAATTTTTAAAATTCCTGGAACCAAATTTCAGGATTTGTTATTGTCTGTATTTTTTTTAATTTGCTTAGTGGGGGGTGGAGTCCAGCTAGGTCCACTCGGCACGGTGGGCACTGATTGGCCTATTGTAGCCTGCCCTGGGCGATTATGATGGAGAATTTGGTGGAATGAAGACTGGCAGGGGAAACCAAAGTACTCTGAGAAAACCCGCCCCACTGCCACCTTGTCCACCACAAATCCCACTTGACCAGACCCAGGATCGAACCTGGGCTGCTGCAGTGGGAAGCCAGCGACTAACCACTTGAGCTATGGCGCAGCATTATTATCTGTTTCTCATATCCCCAAAGGGGATCACTGAGCCAAATTCCAGGACGTTTCCCACCCAACAATAGCCTCTAAGGCCTCTGATAGATGGGGGAAGCATTATAGACACCACTAAGCAAGTGGCCGAACTCGCTTGCTCGGCAGGACTGATGGTACACACCATTTATCGGTAGAGTAAAGAGACTGGTAGAATATCATAGAGGGAAGCACAATAGATCAAACTGGTCACGGTGCATGGGGAAACCCACCCTCTCCAAATAACTAACCAACTAACTGTAGTAGACTGTACTAACTGTAGACACGTAGTAAAGAATAGCAGCGGCACGCACACAGAAAGACCACACAGGATAACACCTATACAGTGTGGAAACAAGAACTAGCCGCTGCAGCACTTCAAACACAGGGCGAATAACCCTAACAATTTTAAAATTTTAAAATTTGGACAAGAATTTAAAAGTTCAAAATTAGAACTAAAGATTTTATTATGGTGCTATTACAATAAACTCAAAATTAACGTGTGTGAAGTAATCTACGGGTGGACAGCTATCAACGAAGTAGAAGTTGATAATGACAGGGAGAGTGTTTTAGATGTTAAATTTTGAACTGGGTGCAGTGTGACAGCGACGTGAGTGTTATACACCTGATGATGGCCGTCTGAGGCCGAAACATGTAGTGTAGGGAGCAAGATCAAAGACACAAAATATATTGTTTGCACTTGAGACGGAGTTTATATCATTTATCGTATGGAGTGCAACAGGATGCTTAAATATAATATTGAAACTAACTGTTGTCTGTTTACTTGGGCTTGTTTTGTGTTCTAGATCATCCTGGAGAATTATGCATTTCCTGGCTTGCTGATGATAGGCACTGATTCCCACACGCCAAATGGTGGCGGCTTGGGATGTCTGTGTATTGGTGTAGGTGGCGCTGACGCTGTGGATGTGATGGCAAACATTCCCTGGGAGTTGAAGTGCCCTAAGGTAGGGTATTCTGTCTATTCAACATTATAGCCCTCACACAATCAATCTGGACACTGCAGAGAAGGGAAGAATCTTTACATTGCCAGGAATCGAACCTATGCCGTCCAGCCCATTGCCTGTCACTATACTGCCTGATGTATTGCGACTCCACTTAACATGGATGAGAGGATAAAATTAAGATTCATTAGTATTATTATCATTGCCCCTACAGGTGATAGGTGTAAAACTGACAGGTTCACTCAGTGGGTGGACATCACCCAAAGATATCATCCTCAAGGTTGCTGGCATCCTGACAGTGAAAGGTGGCACTGGTGCTATTGTGGAATACCTCGGTCCTGGTGTTGAGTCCATCTCATGCACAGGTAGGAAATACTGTACCTTGAATTGTGTTACATCAGAATATATTTGAGGGAAAAATGTTTTTTGGTGATAGGAATAGCTTTTCACATAACTGGATTAATCTTATTCTGGTTTCTATTACAGGTCATTTGACTTGTTTTAGAAAGATTATGATCTATCTGGATGTATTGTTCTCATATCTCTCTCTCTCTCACACGCACACGCTGTACTGATCACATAATCTGACATGGGTCTTAAGAACATGCTGAAAGCATAAAACTTCTGTATATAGTGTGACGTGGATGGCGCAACAGGAAGTAGGGGTCATGTGAACTCTGCGGCCTCGCGAGTAATATTACATACCCTCACTCCTTCCATTATTACGCAACGCTCGGTAAACATCCCCTCCCCCACGTTGACGAAACAGAAGAGGAACTGTGTCAGGCGTGGTGACATAACAACATTGGAGCAGCTGCCGCTGCTACGGTAACAGGCCAGTCAACACTCTGTCCCCCTCCNTTAATTAATATTTGACCATACCCAGAACATTTCTAGTAATGACTTTTTCCCTGGTCACATGGTATTAACCCCTTTTAGGCTAGTAAGGTCCTGCCCCACTCCTGTTTTTAGATATTACATAATTTTCTTTTATTGAATTTTANCTTGACGTAACGGCACTTCCCACTGTGACATAACAAGGGGACACCGCTGATAACACGAGGCAACAGGGAACAGTATAAAAAGCTATGTGAGCAGAGTGTGATTAGGAGTGACACAGCGTGGATCGTGAAGTGACCGACGTCAGTTTCAATCCAGCAGTCGTCGAGTCGGTTTGTATTGAGTACATGGCAGGGACTACAGCAGAAGACATAATTGTGATACTGCCGATGGCAGTGGCTGTGTAATTGCGAGAGCAAATGTGCAATAAATTCGCTAGATCCAGAACGGCATGAAGTTATTTGTTGTGCGTTATATGCCCAACACGTGACAATATTTTCACAGTACAGTCCAAGGAGGCTCTTGGTTTCAACTCTTAAAATAGAGAAATACGTGATTTCCATTTCAGGCAGATATGTTAATTACCCCCTCATTGGTGTCTCCACCTTATCGTGGTGAGGGGGTTTGAGTATGTCAAGGACCCTGAGAGCTATACCAGTGGTAGCGTAGCTACTGGCAGGGCCTCCCTTGCTGGACAGGTCAAAGGGTAGGCATCAGACGAAGAGAGACACCAAAAACTGATGCCGGAAGCAGCGTCATCAGCAGCGACTTGAAGCACGGAGCAAATGATCTCGAGATGGTTCAAGTTTGTATAGCAACAGGCGTGACCAGTGTGGTTTGAACGGCTGCTGTACTGCGATGTGGAAAGCAAATGGAAAACCTACCATATTATCACTTTTCCTGGATAGTCTCTTTCCAAAAACAGAGATACCATGTATGCGAGATGTTTCCTCTGGAGACAAAACAATCCGGAGGTAAACTACTCCCCCAATCGGATCTCCAGGGGGGAGTGTTTCTAGAGGAAATGTCATGCAGGCGTTACAACAAGAAGACAGAAGAGGATACTGTCATTTGAAGGAGAAAGCTCTAGATCACAGTAAGTGGATGAATTGTTTTGGAAGAGACTGTGGACCTCTCGTCTGACAGATTACTGATGATGATGTTAATTAATATTTGACCATACCCAGAACATTTCTAGTAATGACTTTTTCCCTGGTCACATGGTATTAACCCCTTTTAGGCTAGTAAGGTCCTGCCCCACTCCTGTTTTTAGATATTACATAATTTTCTTTTATTGAATTTTAGGTATGGCCACAATCTGTAACATGGGGGCAGAAATTGGGGCCACCACTTCCTTGTTTCCATACAACTCTCGTATGAGAGACTATCTGAAGGCGACTAGGCGAGAAGATATCGCCAGCGAAGCTGATAAATATGCCAAGAGCCTTCTGACAGCTGATGCCAATGCCCCATATGACCAGGTATGTTTCCTGCTTGCCTTATAATGCGGCGTGACTGCAGTTACACCAGAATATTTTTCTTTTTTTGAGAATCAGTAATTATCTAAACTTCACAAATTAATTGTGATTTGTTGTGGACAGAGTGGCACTGGGGCAGAGTATAACTTTTTCATATCGATTTTCTTGTGCCACTTTTCCACCAATACTCCACATTGATCCATCATCAGGGGCTGGCCCATTGAAGGCCAGGGTACTGTAGAACTCTGTCTCACCTCACTCTTGCAACAAATTAAAGACACTTAGAAGAATGCTGTCTTCTGGGACGTGGCGCCTTGTCAGTTTTGTGTGAACTGACATTTCAGAGGATCGTATCGCCTCCATCTTCAGGGTAGAAAAATCTACAAACTGGAGCCACCTGCTGACACTTTTCCTCACTCGTTTTTTCTACCATGAAGATGGAGGCGATGAATTCCTCCGAAACATCGGTTCACAGAAGATCAACATGGTGCCACATCCCAGAAGACAGCATTCTTCATAGTAAATGCCTTGGGAATCTCAAATCTTACAAATTAAGACACATATATTTAAATCACTTTCAAGTGTGATGCTAGGTACCCAGGGGAAAGCATTTGAATGAGAACTGAATTGGTGGTTTATTTGTAGGTCATCGAACTGGATCTGAACACCTTGGAGCCCCATATCAATGGTCCGTTCACTCCTGACTTGGCGCATCCCATCTCAAAGGTTGGCAAAACTGCAACAGATAAGGGTTGGCCTGTTGATATCAAAGTTGGTAAGAGATTTGATATCTTTTTATATTAGAATGACTCAAATGTTGCATTGTTGACAGACAAAATGGCCTCTGGAAGTGGAGGATATCTGCAGATATGTTCAGAGTAATTACAGGCAAATGATATCATCCAGCATGGAGGCTGTTTGAGCCAACCACTGCTCAAATCAAAACAAAAATAAGTTATGAAACTGCATGAGGAACCTCAAATTTGTATCACTTGATACACTGGATGTAGATGCGAGGGTAATATTAAAGTGGATCTTAAAGGAATGGGTGTCGAGGTGCACTAGATTCAACTGACTCAGGCTAGGTTCCATTTCCAGTCTCTTTGGAACAGTTATGAGTTCACTAAAAGGCATACAAGACACTCAGCTTCTTAAAAGAAGGCTCCTGCTCTGAGGAGCTGGTTTACATATACGTTACACACTTGAGTGTTGTGATCAAACTATTGTAGCTTATTTTATGGTTATGGCTGCAGTGTCATACAGTCTCGATTTACATAACAGTTCAGCTGATATGGGTGCCAGGCCATGAAGGTATTGCTGGAAATGAAACGGCAGATCAGCTGGCAAGAACAGGATCTGAACAGCCGTTCATAGAACCTAAACCAGCTTGCGGCATCTAAGTTGGAGTTGCCAAGAAAGCGATCAGGGACTGGACTAACAGATATCACAGAAAACACTGGGAATCCACAACTGCATTCAAACAGGCTAAAGGATTTATATCAGGACCCTCTGCCAGAAGAGCGAGGGACCTGTTAAAATTAAGCGGAGATCAACTTGAGTGGTAGGATTTCCAAACATTTCAAAACTGGGACGACCCAACTTGTGAAAAGTGTCTACAGGAAGATGAATCAGCCACACGCATCATATGTGATTGTGAGGCTATAGCTTACCTAAGATATCGCCACCTGGGTAAGTTCTTCAAGACACCAAGTGACTTTTGTGACGTCCCTATAAATAAAGTCCTACATTTCATTCGAAGTGTAGGATTAATAAAGGGTTAATCCAAAGGGAAAGCACAATAGATCATTGAAAGTCGCAGTGAAAGGGCCGGTTTTTATGGCTCACCCCTCATACTCATACAGTCTCAATTTCCAGGAATAAATTTCAAAGAATGCCAAATATTTTTGTTTCAGCAAACATTTCAGTTGCCATCTTCAGGATGAATAGTCAGGAGTTAATGGTACTCCTAATGTTCTCTTAGTCAAATGGAACTCTGTTTTTTAATGTAGATGTTTGCTCCTCAGGTCTCATTGGCAGCTGTACAAATTCAAGCTACGAGGATATGGGTCGGTGTGCCAGCATCGTAAAACAGGCTTTGACGCATGGTCTTAAGTCAAAGATTCCCTTCAACGTGACTCCAGGGTCTGAGCAGGTTCGGGCAACTATTGAACGAGACGGCATTGTAAGTTCTGCATAAATTTGAACTCTTGCCCTCGATCTCCTAGTAATAATAAAGGCTGGAATTGCATAACAAAAATAACTCAGAATTTGAACGACAAAGAGTTTGTAAACTTTGAACTCAGGAATTTGACAGCAGCCAAAATGTTGATCTTTATTTTCATCATAGTGCTGTTTTTTCTACTATGTAAGAGGCATCTCCCCCCCCCCCCACAAAAAAAAGGGGGCACTAAAAATCCTAGAATGTCTTATAATGAGAAGTAAAGATGAAGAGGTATGTAAAATATACCACAATTAACAAGTTATTTATACTAAACGGGACAGATTAGTATGAACACTAAGCTGAGGAAAATCTGAAATGGAGGAAGTTTATCACTGAGATTATTGACTTGAAATCATTGAAACTGAATATGAAGTGAGGGGAAACATTAAATGGAGGTCATTTCTTAATTCCCGTTTTGTAAACCATTATGCTGTTTTGCATGAAAAATATGGTAATATGTGTAATTAATTTCTTCCATACGTCTAGGCCCAGACGTTGAGGGACTTTGGTGGTACTGTCCTAGCCAATGCTTGTGGTCCCTGCATAGGTCAGTGGGATCGTAAAGATGTGAAAAAAGGCGAAAAGAATACCATTGTTACATCATACAACCGAAACTTCACTGGCCGTAATGATGCCAATCCAGCAACTCATGCCTTCGTAACATCACCTGAGCTAGTGACAGCGCTGTCTATTGCAGGAACTCTGAATTTTGACCCAACCAAAGATAAACTGAAGGGAACAGATGGTAAGTTATAAGATAAAAAGGTAAAGCTACTCCTGTAACAGGCCATGAAGGCTCATAGGGTTGTGAGACGTCAAGGTTCGAACATCATCTAGACAGTCAGCTCACAGATGGCAATAAGGTTGTCAGTCTTATGCACTGGCCGCCCTTTACCCCCAGGAAGATTCCTGGTACTCATTTCTGTTAGAACCTGAGTCGACCCCAGGGCCATAATGCAGCTGGAAGGAATAGGTCAATTGAAAAAATCCACCTCCTCAGGACTTGAACCTGCGTCCTTCCAGCTGGTAGCATAGTGCCTCAACCAACTATGCTACCAAGTATCAGAGGGTATTTTCGAAGACTCATCTAGCAGATTGACTTGTGTTCAGGAGGTCCTGATTTGAATCCCAGTTGGGATGCCAATTTTCGTGCTGGAGGTTTTTATGACATTTCTTATTTCCTCCGAGTGAATTTTGTGGCAATACATCAACTTAGACTGCAACTGCTTCCTTTCATGTTCTTTCCAATTCATTATTTACTGATCATTCTGAAATATGGTGGTGCTCAGTGCTACTAACAGTAAGATGTAAACAAATAAATATTGATTTGTTTACAATATTATATTTAAGCATCCTGTTACACTCACAGAATCTATATGAGACAAACTCCTTAAGAGCAACAATTTTATTGTAGTCCTTTCTTCTTCCCTTCCTCCACACTACATGTTTCGGCCCTAAATGGCCATCATCAGGTGTGTATTCTTACGTAGCTGCTACACTGCCCGTAGTTTAAAATTTAAAATCACCAGTCTTTCCAATTGTATGTATGTATAAAATCTTTGTTAACCTACATGCGTCAATTTGAATTCTAAAATTTGCACTTTTTTAAATCTTCAATTCAAATTAAAATGTCTATAAATTTTCTTTCTCCAAATGTTTAAAAAATAAAATATAAACATAAAATAAAATATAAAGAAAAGAAAAATCATTTTGATATTATTAATATTTGTAGGTAAGGAATTCCTTTTGGACTCACCATATGGAGATGAGCTGCCATCAAAAGGTTTTGATCCTGGTGAAGATACGTATGAAGCACCGCCTAGAGATGGCAGCAAGTTGAAGGTAGATGTTGACCCAAAGAGCCAGCGACTGCAGCTTTTAGAACCATTTGATGTTTGGGATGGAAAAGATCTGATTGACCTCACCATCCTTATTAAGGTAGTTGCATTGTAATGGCAATTTGTAATGCAATTTTATCCCACCATAGTTAGGAGCGTATATGGTAAGATAACAAGTCTAAAGTGGACGGACTTACAAAGGAATATATTTAATTTTTGTTAACCTGTAAATTTTGTGACAAATAGAATATTCAAGACTCCCTGAGTAGATTCTACAGGGTTCTGAGAGTGTTGTATAATACTCAGAATTGCTGGGTTTCTGGACTTAATCCATCTTCCAGTATTCTAGAAACTAGAAAACAATGTTTCGGAAACTGGATCTGTTTCCAAAACTTGTTTTTTAGTTTCTAAGATACTGGATGATGGACAAAGTCCAAAAACGCAGTAATTCTGAGTACATAGCAGGACCTCAGTGAATTATGTAACAGTGGAGTTCCTACATTGACACTGTGAGGGTAACAATTCCTTGAGCAATTAGTTCGTCACAGATACTCTGTTCTGTGGAGTTAGCTAGCAGAGAGCAGTAATATGTTTTTTTTTTTTTTTTTGAGCCAATTGACAATACTGCTTGCAAAATTGCTTTGCCATGTTGGTGTGTGTGTCCACATGTAACAGCTCAAGAAAGAGTTAATGGTTACTGTGAAAAGTCATATCATGGAGTTTTTAATAGAATTCATCAGCACATAATAAAGTTAGGTTAAGATTGAACAAGAAAGAACAGTTTACATGAAGACCTACATGCAGTTCTCCACATATCTCGAGCAGAACTCTAGATATTTATTGGAAGAAAAAGGAAATGTTTCAGGTAAACATTGTAGAGGACAGTGAAAAACATTTTATGTCCAGTATCCTTTTCCCACGTGTTTTGTGGTTCTCAGGATAATTAAGCAAGAGAGAATGAACAAGGCAGACTATTCTATTACGCTTGTTCCATCTAACACAACTCAAAGAATGTATAACATTATTATACATTCTTTTGAGTTGCATTAGATGGAACAGGCATAGTAGAATTTTTTGGAAATATGCAACAGGATGCACTCTTTAGAGATTGAACATGGCATACATATATGTATGTTAACTTACCTTCTTTGTCTCAAGGTTAAAGGGAAGTGCACAACGGATCATATTTCGGCAGCTGGACCTTGGCTCAAGTACCGTGGACACTTGGACAATATTTCTAACAATATGTTCATTGGCGCAACCAATGCTGAAAATGATGAAATGAATAAGATTAGAAACCAACAAACAAATGAGTGGGGCACAGTTCCTGATGTAGCACGAGCGTATAAAAAAGTTGGTATTAAATGGGTGGCCGTTGGAGATGAAAACTACGGTAAGTTTATAATTCTGGTTAAACCAAGAAATTCATAATAAATTTTCGAATGTGTAGTGTTTGTATAAATTACGTGTACTAGAAGATAAGGTAATTTTCAGGCGTGTTCACAGGCCCCCTGTGCATCCATTGATATTACTGCATCTGTTTGTATCCTTGAAACAGTTGCATAATTGTATATAGGGGGGATACTGACTTAAGCCTGTCAACATGCTCCAGTTTTGTTTAAAATTGAACAGTAATGAACGTTACATGAAGACCTGCATGTTTTTATGCATATATCCTTGGGTATAGCTCATTAAATATTTGTTGGAATAAAAAAAGTTCCAATCAAAAGTTATAGGCAGAAATGAAATATATGGAGCTGAGCCCTTCTGGAGGAGCCGCCAATTCAGCAGCTACTCAAGAATTTCCCATCATTTTATGGAACCCGAAGGTTTATTACCATGTTCACAAGATCCCTCCACTGGTCCCTATCCTGAGCCCGATCTATCCTCTCTCTCCAAGATCCATTCTATTATTGTCCAACCACCTACTCCTTGGTCTTCCCTGTGGGCTCTTTCCTTCTGGCTTCCCCACCAATATCCTATGTGCATTCCTCGTCTCCCCCATTCGTGCTACATGCCGTGCCCACCTCATAAACATGAAATATATTTATATTTATAATAAAACTCCCATTTGTTATCTTTTGAGTTAAGTTTAACCCTCAGTTAGCATTCAGTTTCAATAATTCCAAATCAGTCTCATAAATTTCACCTACTTAATATCATCAGTTACTGTTCTTACCCAGTGGCCCCAAGTAAACCATAAATGGGGGCTTCACTGTGTATATGTTTAATTGAAACATAATTGTACTTAGTCATAAGGACTTTTTTATTTTATCAAAATAAACATCTCAAATATTTGACCTTAATGCAGTTTAACATGTCCTTTGTAATCCTTACTGCTGAACATCTTTTAAGGGGAAAAATTAAAGAGTTTGTAATGTATTTCAGCATTCTGTTGCACATCTTTATTAAACCTCTATGTATTTAGTCCGTCAGTAATGCAACAGTCATTAAAATATTCACTATTCAAAACCAATACATGTTTCGGCCACAGATGTTTCGATGCATGTAGACTGCAACACACAATTTTAGCATGCATCAAGACAGTGTAACAGTTAACACACATCAGAACACCTGAATATTTTAATGATTTTTGCATTATTGACGGACTAAATACATAAACATTTAATAAAGAGTTTGTGTTTGGTGTTGACACGTTACACTGAATCTTCTGGACCTGTATCACGTATTATTTCAAGTTATGTGGGTGTATACTGGTCTAATAAACACTGCCAAGCCTCCATAGCTTTGTATGTTCCAAGTGTTTCCATAGTTATTGAAACAGAATGTATCTTGTTTCTCATCTGTTGTGTTTATAGGGGAGGGGAGCAGTCGGGAACATGCTGCCCTGGAACCCAGACATCTTGGTGGCCGTGCCATTATTGTTAAGTCCTTTGCCCGTATCCATGAAACAAACCTTAAGAAGCAGGGTCTTCTGCCTCTGACATTCGCAAACCCTGCAGATTATGACAAGATTCAGCCTTCAGATAAGATCTCTCTGCTTGATCTGAAGAATCTTGCACCTGGAAAGGTTTGTTTGTCATTTTAATTAAGATTAATTTGCTAAGAGCTGCAATTATTTTGTAACCATAAACATCAAATTGGGAAGCACATAAGTGCTGCTCTTATATATATATATTGTCGCGTATTGGGCGTATATCGCGACAAATAACTTCACGCCGTATTTTATATAGCGAATTTTATTTCACATTCGCACTTACAATCACCCAAATTACAGATTTACGACTACTGCTATCTGCAGTATCACAACTAGTACACTCCAAATGCCAGAATACAACTGACTGGTTGCTGGCTAACTCGGAACTAACTCGGAGGTAGCTCGAGGACTGACTCGTAGGTAGCTCCAGGACTGACTGTGAATAGCCTTCGCTGCCCCTCATGTAGCCTCGATCGGACAATACAGAAAACGGCCACGTAATAAGTACCCTTGTTACCTGGCGCTGTGTTGCTAGTAACGCTAGCGGTAGTAACCGCTGTTACCACCGTCGTCTC